TATTTTGTAACAAAATGACTGCTAGCTTGCGACGTAATGTGGATTAAAATTCGGCATAAGCACTGGTGCTGCCCTACGGAGTACTCTTAAGCCAAATAATAGTCCCTGACATTCTAAAGTGCTTTTACTGATTTTAAATGTGCGTGTGTGTAAATAAAAATGCCTTTCAATTTAAGCATGCATAGAAGTATCAATTTGTGCTACTTACATGTTGCGACTGAGTATTTTTCCGCATATAATATTTGAAGAATTAAATTATGTGGATTAAGAATGCTTTTTCCCAGTTGCTACATGATTACAGAACTTTTTAACCTTTTCAATCGTAATTGAACTTTCCACATTTCAAAACGCTGCGTTCTATCAGAAAAAAATCATATCTACCTCATTGTTACTATGTGATCCGCTTCTCAGAGAATTTTGCGTCGAACTTAAGGTTTATTCGCCAAAAGAGCATCAATAGACGAGCAAAAAGGCATTTGCACGAATAGATACATCAAGATTATTAGACCTTCCTATTGTATTATACTTGAAATCGCGACGCAACATTTCTTAAAGCTAAAGATGGTGAAGGCGCCACTACGCAGCGCGGGTAGTGTCAATCATGAGCGTCATACGAAGATCATATATAAGCTTTAATGCAGATATCTTTGACAAGGTATATGGGGCATTTTAGAGTCCTCATCTGGACAGTGTGTTACGGGCTTGGCGGTCGTGACTTTAAAAGAATAAAGTTATTCTTAATGGTGTTACTTAAATTGTTCATGAACTTAAAAATTGCATACATGAGCAACGCCTGACCGCCTTGAATCTATTATCTCCCACTACAGGTAGGACAGAAACCTACCATATGACAAGCTTTCGGTTGCTAAGAGGACTAGATTTAGATCTTGACTTGGAAATGCTATTTGGTAGGGCACCAAAGACTAGTCTCAAACGACACAATTACAAGCTTAAAAAGGAAGTGTGTAGCGCAAATCAGGGTTCCTCCTTTTTCTCACAAAGAGTCATTCTCCAACGGAATTCTGTGCTGGCGTTTATTGTGAATCACCCTACCGTGGCTGCATTCAAGAAACATCTGGAAAATCATCCGTAAATAGGCAACCTGAACTCCTGAACATCGATCTAAAGGATTGATGAAATGACCATGAACATGCTTCTAACGACAATTCAACAGATCACTCTGTGCATTGTAACCCTGACGCAGGCAAAAACCTCACAGTGCGAATATCCCAAACGCGCTGTCACCTTTTTTGCATCCTGCACATTGGATAAACATGCGAATGTTCTTGCAACTTAATCACTTTTCACCCATGTCTGTACTGCTTACCAGCAGCATTAAGTTCTTCCATGAACGCCCCTCACCACACGATGCGCTTGCCAGCGTTGGTTAGTATGTGCAAACTTCTATATGTGTGAAAGTTTGTTTATGGCACATTTTAAGTCGGAGGCTTAAACCACAGTCCTTTCATACACACCTCTGTTGTTAAATGGAGTTTTTGGGGTTCGCGTCGTTTATGCCAGACGACCTGACTGCTAGGAAACAAAATTTGCTTTCTACAAATTGTAAACCCAATAAGTGATCATTTCTTTTGAGTTTATAGGTCGAATAAATGACGAGCATTCAAAAAGCGATATTCTGACGTGAAAGTCTTCCGGCAGGTTAAGGAAGTATGTTAATCAGCATTCTATTAACGTCATTGTGACACAACCTAGTAAAGGGTGCATTGTGAATTTTTAGTTACCGTCTCATGCTTTACGTGGCCGACAATGGGAACAGAATATGCATTAGTTTCCTATAGACTGCCGTGAACTGAGAGGCATTAATGAGACTTCAGACACAGTTTGTCCTCCATTCTTTACAAAATACTGCGGGATGGATAAACTGTGATATATCTCAGGCGCTGATTACACTAAGTAGTTGGACCGTAAACCCGTATTTTGCCATTATGACGTGACATTTTCTTGGTTGCCCTATGATATCTAGTATTATTATAACCGTTCATGTAAGTAGGCGGACAGTCGTAACTTCGCGAGATACCCAGTAAATGGCTGCACTCAACACCCGATCACTTCTACTTAAGCAGAAGTTGTTTAACATAGATGCCTACTCAGCACCACCAGCGGTAACCCATAATTTTGAACTATGCAACTTAGACACCATTACTACCGTAGCTTAGGAAGGAAAATAGTACATCGATGAAAGCACGACAACTGTAGATAGCCCCAGGCATCCGATGCAATCGCTCGTTATGATAAGATTCTGAGACTACAAACGACTAAAGACGTCGAAAACGCAAACTATTGCCACCGTCAGCAAAAATCGGACCGACAAAGACAATGGGATTGAGTTTTGCATTCACATGCAACATTTACTGATTGGAGAAGACGCTGTTTTAGACTCCAGAAAATAACTAAATGTTATATGAGCGGTCTTAATATTTTGATATTTCTTCACCAGCCGTTGCATGGAATATGCGAATATGCAGATTTTAATATTTAAGAGGTCAAGTGCAGCAAACATACGCCTTTGATTATTCATCATTAGTGCTGGAACATAATATAACGGAGGGCAGAATAACAAGAATGAAACATCCAATGAGAATCTACATGTGGGACAGGGTTGAGAGGCGTTCAGAGGTCAGTGATCAGATTATAGTTCTGTCAGATGCTGAGGGGGGGGGGTGGAGAGAAGGCGGGGGAGGGTGGAGGGGTAAGACATCTGGAGATTAGCTGTTCCTGTCTCAGCGTTGTGAACAGACGAGGCGGATGTGAACACGCATGCTGAATTTGTCTTTGCCTAACGATAAATCAGAGCAGCTTATTGTCAGACACCTTCTCCCTCACCCCATTTCCTAAGCCCCAGACAGGGCCTCAGGGCTTCTATCGATTACTCCACATATACTGAGTGATACTGACTGAATCGTACGATTCTCTGCAGCACAATTTTAAAGAGATATGCTGAGAACCGATTTTAAAGTGCCACAAAGAAGATCAGCGAGCCATATGGCAATCTGCATCAACGTATGGCGATATTAGACGAACCAACTGAATAAGAACGAAGGAACTTTATCAGCTGTGTTGAGATGGATGGCATAAAAATTGGCAAGGATTCTTCGCAATGTCAAGCCGAAGAACACACAGGCAACGTTTCAAATGCTTCGGAGCGGTACGTACATAATTTCACTAAGTCGGCTCTCGACAAATACGAGATTGAGACAGTAGCTGAACTTTCGTTTTCCTAATCACAAACCAATCGGAGTCGCGACAGTTCACTTTGACTGTCTCTTGAGTCAGACGAAGGATCTAGTTTCTATAACACCTGAAAAAAAGTATTTCTAATAGATAGTATTGAAAAGTTGTTACAGGTACCTTAGCGAAAAAACACTAATAGTCAGGCATATAACGAAAGATTATTTCTAGAAACTAAGGGAGCTATGTGAAAACAAAGAAATACTCGTCACCAAATCGGACAGAGTTTGTGGTTTCGTGTTCATAAATAAGAGGTTTTACGCTTCGAAAATAGGAGTAATCGCCGCGGAGGACACGGCATCCGAAAGCGAGGGGCAAAATAAGGACCAAACCGAGAAAATAGAAACGCACCTTACAGAATTGATGAAATTGAAGGATTAAGCGTTTCTAAATTAGTACCAGTTCAATTATCGTAAACCCACAAGCACACTGCCTTCAAATCTATGTAGTTTCCATTACGCCGGAGAAAAACGAGTATTCCAAATCGAAACTGTTGAATGTTTGGTACAGGTTCCTTAGAAGAAAAATCATAATCGGGCATATTATGAAAGAACATTTCTCGAAGATAATTATGTAAAAACAAACAATACTCTTCACCAAACCGGAAACAGTTTTTGGTCTCGTTTTCATAACTAAAATTTTTCAAGTTTCAAAAATAAAACCAATCGCCGCGGATTACATGACGTTTGAAAGGGAAAAGGCAAAAAGAGTGCCGAACCGAGAACATAGAAGCACACCTTACAAAATTGCGGAAATTGAAGGATCAAACTTTATTAAATGAGTAACAGTTCAAATATCTTAAACCCACGGGTACAATGCTTTCCAGTCTATATTAAAGATTCATAAACCAGACCTTCCGATGCGTTCGATGTTAGACAGGGGTTATTCTCCCATTCATGCAATTTTTAGTGTACGGCAGGAAGGTTTAAGCCGGTTCGACACGTTTTGATTTGCTGATTTTACAGGGCATGCATATCTTAATAAGAAATTTATGTTGCCTCTAGGCGATCTGTCTTTTTTAACTTTCCCCTCAATAAAACTATACACGTTTTATGTTACGAGATTGTATGTCTAGATTTACATGTCATAATGCCGGTTGGATACTTAAGGAACATGCTCTTTCTCTGCTCAATCAAGATTTGATGGTCAATTTTATCCCCAGATCAACAGTATTGCGATGGGATCGCACCATGTACAAATACTTATTAATGCTTTTATTCATTGATATTTTGGCAGATTTTGACTAATTCATATTGGCCCAACTGTGAAAAACTCGGCGAATCGGTGGGATTCGAACCCACGCAGTAAGTAGAAGGCTTTAGAGCAGCCAACGCTCTAACCACTTGAGCTACGAGGCCTCGAGTTTTTCACAGTTGGGTCAATATGAATAATGCTTTTATGAAAAAACCGGTGAAAGCCCAGCTCTGTCCAATGATAAAGGACCGTTATTCTTATGCTTGATGACAATGGTCCGCAGACACACCTGGGGATCCAGAACCTGACGATCGAGACAATCGAGCTGCTTCTACAAAGCCAATACGATGAAATGGAGAATATTCTTGGACGGGCCCAAGTCCTTCAGCTCCTGAAGTTCTGTCTCAGGACGTTCTTCACGTTCGAGGGGACAATCTACAAACAGGTGAAGGGCACACCGATGAGTCTGCCGATTTCGGAGTTCATCGCCAAGGCGGTCCTGCAACGATTAGAATCGCTGGTCTTCCAACACCACAAACCGAAGTTCTGGGCCCTGTATGTGGATGATACCTTCGTCGTTATCGACCGGGATCAACTGCTGACATTCAAGGAACGTTTGAACGCGGTCTTCTCTGACATACAATTTACGATGGATGAAGAAGAGAACAACCAACTGGCCTTCCTGGATGTCCTCGTGTGCCGCAAGGATTGTGGTGGACTAAAGACCAAAGTGTTCAGGAAAGCGACAAATACGATGCAAGTACCGAACTTCAACAGCAACCACCCAATCAGCCACAATCGCAGTTGTATAAGGACGCTCTATCGGCGTGTCGAAACGCACTGCAGTGAGCCGGAAGACAAAATTGACGAATTACAGTACCTCCGACGCGTCTTCAAAGCCAATGGCAACCCGCGCAACTTCGTCAACCGATGCATACGCAAAAGGGATGGAAGGCCTAACCGCACGGACACCAAATCTTGGAGGGCGCTTCCGTATGTCCAGAACGTTTCGGAAGCTGTTCGCCGTCTTCTCGCACCACTTAGGGTTGAAAATGCACACGGACAGGAGGTAACCATCGGGCGTCTGGTAATGAAACCGAAAGGCCCACTGATACGGCATTAAACGTCTGGAGTCGTTTATCGGATCTGGTGCACTTGCGGACAAAGCCACTACGTTGGAAACACCGGAAGACAACTCCAAACGCGAATGACCGAACACATTGCAGCGGTGCAGAGAAATGTCGTCAGTTCTCAAGTTGCAGCTCATTCGACGGGTTCCGGCCACACAGTCAAATTTGACGATGCCGAAATTCTCGCAAGAGGTGACAACCGCGTGACCCGGGAGTTGCTTGAGTCATGGTTTATTGGCCCCCAGTCTATTAATAAGGGCAATGATCTTGCCATTTAATACACCGTGTTAAGACATCGTTTTGGTGGAGTAATCAGCCACGTGGGAAGCGCGCAGGCGGAAACTCTTCCCAACACCCGGGTCAGCGCGTCAGATGGTCGAGCAATCATCACACCAACATCCAACGCAAGTGATGAACTTGCTGCAATTAACGACGCAAATGTCGGCCATTACGCCACGTGCAACGATCCCTGATGAAGAGGGGGGAGCCGTGAATATTCATAGGTATGTGGTAGCATGGCTACTGCATCATATAAATACTGCAGCCGCATATGTATGAACCATCCTTATCTGGTTTTGTCTCTGATGACGGATTTGAGTAGGAATCCGAAACGTCAGGCTAATAAAGCTTACGTCCCGGCGATCGTGTCTTCTTTTTCTTCTTCTTCTTCTTCTTCTTCTTCATGCAGCCATAGTTAGTAACGCAACTCATTAAAAATTTTCTCAAAGTTTGATATATTATTTCAGTTAGAAAAATGGATAAGCACACTTTAATGTTGACAACCAATGGAATTCTCTCGGCTACAGTCGGAATTTCTACATGCGAATAGCTTATTTTAATGTTATAGGGGGCGCAAATAGGGTGGTGCCCAACAAATACATAATGCCTGTCCGATTAGCAAGATATCTGAGCCTACAAAAGTGCAAACGGTGGATCATATTAGCTTCTTCAAAATACCCACCTAAGAAAACTATTTTACTGACATAAAATATGCAACTAGGATGTTTTCTCATGATAATGCCTGTTCACTTGGCATGACTGCTGTACCGATGGAAACGTAGAAAACGAGGTTCATATCTAAAACGGCATTGTATACAAGCATTAAATTTTTTAATTGCATAAAAGTCTGAAAAATAGTGCATAAACTACGAAGTATGAAAACACAGGAACATTGGGTGAACTGGAAAATGTTAAAAATGATGTCATTCTTTCAAGAAAATTTAAAAATAAAAAAATTAACAAAGCAAATTGTATTAAGATAACATTTAAAACCTGTTTCTTCAGAAGACCTTTTGCAACATATCCACGGTTATTTGTACGACTACGAATTCTTTGTTTGAGTGGACGTATGGGCAATAAAACCCCGCATCCCAGCTTTCAAGAAATATTTTGGACTAGGATGTGAGCGGAATATTATTAAAATCCTACCCAAACGATGCCTTCTATCTTTGATCACTTGTTGGAATTTCAGTCAACGATTTAAGTCTTACAATGTAGTCCAGTATCTATGTTCGTAAAATTTCATAGAATCTTCTGTGTACGACAATTCTACTTAAACCCGTCGAACTACTTACAGACGGTGTGAATGATATTTCTACGACATATTATGAAAAGGATTAGCACTTTAAGTCTGCCTGGTACGTGTGGTTAAAATTCCAACGCAGTCAAATTTTAGACACCACCCATGGATTTTGCTCGAGATGATCATAGTTGCAAATTTACAGTTTCAAATATTTTGCCGCTCGAGATAATTGACCTAATGAACGTTATCCATACTCTACGGCATGCATTCGCCACTAGAAATCAGACGAGGAGTTGTTAATATTGGATAAAAGTAGGTTACTGTCGAAAACATCACTATCAAAGGTAAAAGTTACTGCACGGATTAGTTCATTGATTTTACCTGCTGTCGCAACTCGCATGAAGACAATATAATAGTATTATTTAAAAGATGAGGTCGAGGTGGTTTACTATGCAAAACCGCC